CTTTTCAAAATTAGTGACCCATGTGGGTGGTCCTGAGTGCTATAGGCAAGCAAGCTCGGCCCAGTGATCATAGCCTAGGCACTCAAAGGGTGAAGGATTCAATAAGATAATAAGTAAAGAGCATTCCTCCACGGCCCCTGCTTCAGTTTCTGCCTCTAGGTTCTGCCCTGTTCGAGCTCCTGCCCTGATGTCCCTCGCAGGGGACTGTGACATGGAACTATTGACTGGAATAAATCCTTTTCTCCTCAAGTTGTTTGCGGTCGTGGTGTCTCACCATAGCAATAGGAACCCTGACTGAGACAGTCTCTCAAAAGCTGGGGTTACCACCGTCAGGACAGATGTACTTACTTATGTCATTTCAGGCAGCATGGCTTCTGATTCTCCCAGCTACCATTTCCCACTGACATGTAACACAGAAACAGTTCCTAAAGCTTCCTAAATCAGAGAGCATCTGTTCTACCTAATGAAGCTATGGATAGGGACCTTCTGAACTGAATTAAATTAAAGATTGCTGATGATCAAATGGGCTGAAAAAATGCGTTAGGAAAAGTAAACTAACGCCCATGTCCCTGTGAACACACTAAGCACATCAAACCAGCGGGCTTTCAACACTAACGACCATATCCCCTCCTCCACTGCTTTGGGTTCTTCTTTACCATTGTGGGGAAAGACTTCAGGGCCAATATCAAAGCAGTTGTCTCTACTCCATCCCCTTCTTCCTGGGAGCTTAAATCTCTGCTTGGTGTCCTGAGGGACTCAAGACAAGGCAGTCCCAGGGGCCAAACGCAGACCTTTTTTGCTGTCTTGCTCCCATTAACTGTGTGTGACTGTGTGTGACTGTGTGCTTACATACATGCAGAGAAATTCCTGCTCCTTACAGTACAGTGTTACACAATCCTACCTGCAGGCACTGTGAGCTGCAGTGGAAACTGAGCTGGGGGTTAAATGTTCACAGACTAACCCCAGGAGGAGCAGAGTCTGAATCCAGAAGCCACCTTCTGAGCCCTTCACACTCTAAAACTATCCCAAGGAGGGTGTCGTGAGAAGCTAAGCCCTGAATCACTGCCACAAAGCAAAGGGAATGTCATAGCACAGCAGGAACTGCTCCTGGCTCCCACGCGTGACTAGGCAAGGTATCGCAGCACTTAGCCAGCCATACCTGCTCCCAGGGGAGAGGAACGAATTTACCAGTATTTCTGAAGGAAAAGACACAATAGCATCTTTGTTGTTACCGCAGGATCTGGGGAAAAGTGGGGGTGGCTGGCCATCAGGGCCAATTGGACAAAAGCCGGCAGAAAGTCTGCTGTGCAGAGGCCAAAGGAAGCTCCTGCAATGCCCACGAAGAAGCCTTGCGGTGGCCAGTGCCTGAGCAGGGTCCAGGTGCCCGGGATGCACACACTGAACCTCTGTGTGGAGAACAGAGCTATTCTGTCCTGGAAGAAGAGTGTGACCCACCTTCCCTCCCTTGGAATCTGCTGGGTACCCACATGGCCCCTGCACAGCATCCCAGCTCGACTCTCAGACTCAGCTCCCCTGAATTTAAGAACACCTACAGCCTCACACAACCTGAGCCCCTCTCAGGCCCTTGTAGCCAGTCTTACACCTCGGCTTCTGAAAAGCGTGCTGGCCGGACGGTGGTGGCGCACGCCTTTAATCCCAGCACTTGGGAGACAGAGGCAGGCAGATCTCTGTGAGTTCGAGACCAGCCTGGTCTACAAGAGCTAGTTCCAGGACAGGCTCCAAAACCACAGAGAAATCCTGTCTCGAAAAACATAAATAAATAAATAAATAAATAAATAAATAAATAAATAAATAAATAAATGAAAAGCGTGCTGTGAGGCAGGCAGCCAGTGCCCCTGCTGCTGCTCTCCAGGGAATCGCTGCCCAGGGACTCAAAAGAGACCCCAGAACAGTCAGGGTTCCACACAACAAGGAGGAATTGCTTGAGAAAGGTGATAAAAATGAGATATTTTCAAAGCACAGCTGGGTCCCATGAAAGCTTCGTCTTCATCATCAAGTTGACTGGATTTGGAATCTCTGGGGGTGTGTGAGAGTTTTCAGAAAGGTTTAGCTGAGATGGGAAGACCTACCTGGATGAGGGGAGCACCATCCCATGGCCTGGGGCTCTAGACTAACTACAGAGAAGAAAGGAAACTGGTCACCACCATCCATCTCTGCTTCCTGACTGGATGCTATGTGATGTGAACAGGGCCAGAAGCTCCTGCTGCCATGCCTCCCCTGATGGACTGCACCTTCAAACCGTGAGCCAAAGGAGACCCCTCCTTCCTCAACTTGCTAAGTATCCTATCATAGCCATGGGGGGAAAAAAAATAAAAACTACAGCTGGACTCCAAAGGAGGATGTTGGATAATTGGGTCGGGAAGAGAAGCAGCAAGATTTAAAGGAACTTTGTCAGAATTGTGTCCAATTCTACATTCATTAAAATTCTTTTTTAATCAAACTCTACATTCATTAAAATTCTTTTTTAATCAACTGTACTTTGAATCCTACAAGGAAAGCCCAGACAGACAGAAGGAGAACTCCAGAAACTGTACAGACCAGGAGACAGGGGCCACGAGACCACACCCTGCTCCATACAGACCATACAGACCATCCCAGGCACAGCCCCCTTCCCGACAAGGCCTGCCACAGAGCACATCTCCTCTGAGCTTCATAGAAACCATGCCCATTGTTCTTAACACCCCCCTACCTCCCTTCCATAGCCCTCTCCTCTCCTTCCTTCTGGGGTCTAGAAGTTTTCCTATGAGCCCCATGCTGGGCTCCTTCCTCTCCTTTGGGGAAAGGATGCAAGGAGGAGTGGACTCTATGTTTTGAAATTACCACCCTCTGCCATTGCAGAACTCATCTTACAGAGGCTCCAGAGCTACCTCGGATGTGCCTCCAAGCTTCTTTAGGCACCAAGTCAACTTCGTATTCCTTGCCAAAAACTTGAGAGTCTCTTTCACCCCACAGCCTGAGAAGTCACCTCAGCATGGTGGGACAGAGCCTAGACTGAAGACAGATGGAGAAGCTTCTCTTGCTGATACTGCCTCCTTAGCCGGAGCACGAAGCCCAACCTGTTCCTGGATGAGCACCTTCAACTATCATGCTGGGGGAAGCAACACTGTCCTACCAAGGGGCTGCACCTCAGAGAAAAGCCAGTTTAGAGCAGCGAGTACCTTAGCCCGGAGCCTCCACCCACAGCACACCCTCAGCCCCCCCCCCCGACCCCTGGCATCTCACAAGGAATGGGCTATCCACAGAGCCAGCCGGGCCCATCTCCACGCCTCCCTCTCATCTGCTTCTCCCCAGCCCTAGGCCTTCCACTGTTGTTAGCCAGTTCTTAGCTGATGGCATTTCTGGAAAAAATCACCACCCAACTTGGCTCCTAAGCACAAAGCCACAAACCTGCCGCCCCAGCCAATACGGGGTTTGAATTCTCTGGATGGTACTGGAAGAGGATGTTAGCCCATTGCAAGCAAACACCTTCCAAAGTCAAACAAAAACTGCCCACAAGTAAACAGCATATGGCATAGCCCCTTCCAGCGGCCACTTAGGAGAAACCCAAGTCCATGGCCAGCAGCAGGGGAGTAGGCTGCAGGCTGCAGCATTTGTCGGTAAGGCCCACCCTCCAGCAGGGGTAGCTAGCTGGACCTGCTTGGAAGCCAGGAGGTGTGGAGTCAGGAGACTGTACAGGCATCAGAAACCACAGACAAGGCAGCACTAGAGACATGAACAATAGCAATCTCAATTATTACCGGAAGTGTTCCCCTTCTGTTTGTAAAAGACCGATTCGGAAGACAAAGAGAGAAATATCACTTAGCCTGGTTCTGAAGGACAACGGACTTTATAGAACTTTGGCCACTAAGATGGCTGAGGGGTCAAAGACACCACCATGCTGAGTTCAATCCCCAGAATCCACACAGTGGAAGAACAGACTCCAAAAAGTGGTCCATGACCAGAGACCACTAACACCCCTCAGAGAACATGGCTATGGCTCATACTTTTTGGATGGCAGGCTTGCTCCTGAACCAGGAATCCAGTAAAATCCGAGTTCTTACCCCACACCTCCAGCCACGCCTCTTTCAGACTTAGATTTCATGTTCATAAGGCCTGGAGAGAGGCCAAATAGAAGCCTCAGCATCCCGTGAGCCCCAGCCCCCACTGCTCAGACCTCACATCTGCTCCCACACTGACCTACTTCCTACGAAGGACTCTCGGAATTCCTGGCCCATGGGTCAGCTTCCCAAGAAGCATCTGTGGGGAGTGCCCATCTGCCCCCCCCCAAAAAAACCTGAAGAAAAAGAGGTCCCTCAGGGGGCTCACAGAGCAGACAGGGATCCCACCTCTCCACACTCCCTTCTCCCTTCTCCCCCCCCCCCCCCCAACCCTTGGCTGCAGATTGTGAGAAGCAGAATGTACCAGTCTGCCTTGAGGGTTAACATCAGTGCCTCAGCTAAAGCCACGTGGGCAGATTTTCAAATTCTTGGTGTCTGTGAGGTTGGGAAAGAATCAAATCCACAGAGGGATTCCTCGGAGCAAACAGCTCCTGCACAACTGCTCTATAGTCCCTGTCCAGCAGGTAGGGAGGGGAGGCCATGGAATCTCAGCAGTGAGATTTGCATCAAAGGTGATGCGAGGCATTGTTAAAAACATTAATACACCGCTAAGCCACAGCACCCTGTGGAATTCACACACCGCTGAGAGGGAACGGGCGGCTCCAGAGGCTCCCGCCATCGGGTCTGCCTTGGGTTCTCCTCTCCACCTAAGGGTTGGTCAGTAAGCATTTTACTTAGATGCCTGTTCAGCTACGGTGTGTGTGTGTGTGTGTGTGTGTGTGTGTGTGTGTGTGTGTGTGTGTGTGTGTGTGTATGTGTGTGTTGGGGGCGGAGGGGCCCTTGACGAATCCTTTATCACCAGCCTCTTCCAAGAACATCCCCAGTTCTGAGCAGAAAGCAAAGTCAAGCGGGCTCATGAGAAAGCTTGAGGGATAACTGTACCCTGGGATGCCGCGTGTGCAGGCCGTGCGCCACTTCGAGGCCGCGTGCCCCGGTGCCCACCGCCCCATTCGGCCACTCCTACCATGTCTCCGCAAACTCCTGCAGGTTCCCAAGCTCAGCCTGCTGGCCGTCTCATCCCTGGAGCTCAGATTTCCCAGGCTGCGCTGGGCTCGGGTCCACACCTTTCCCGCAGCCAGATCGCAGGAGGGGGGCGGGAAGGGCACATAGTAGGCTGCTCCCCGTGTGGGTTTGTGGGGTCCTGCTGCCGCGAGGCGCCTCCAACCGCTGGGGACCTTTTCAGAGTTTGCAAAGCCCCAGCCCAAGGCGCCGTCCAGCCTCCCCAATCCCCAGAAAACGCGGGAGGGGGAGGCCCCTTTCACAATAAAAGCCCTACCCGCTTCAGGCCAGCCGCAGCCGCCTGGAGCGAGGGCCCTGGTGCTGGGAAGGAAAGGGTCCACTGCCGCCCCGTGCTGGGATCAGCGCCGGGGCTGGGTGTAGAGGAACCCAATCGCGCCTCTAAGGTGTGCGGGTACAACCCATGGGGCGGGGCTCGGCAGGGAGACAGGTCTGTTACTGGACCTCTCTGCTTGCTTTGGGCACAGTGCCCAAAGGCAGTTTGGGAGGCAAATCCGTTAACCACTGAAGGTCATTAACTATGAACAGACCCTCATTCAAGAGGCAGAATAAGAAATCAACACTGGATACTGACCTGGCCACTGATAGTCGCTTTGTGAGCCCGGTGCCAGCTTCAGTGGGGGCCAGATTTTAGATTCCTCCCTGGAACTGGAGTTACAGGTGGTTTTGAGCTGTCACGTGAGAGTGCGGAGAATCAACCCAGGTTCTCTGCAAGAGCAGCCAGTGCTCTTAAATGCTGAGCCATCTCTCCAGCCCCACCTCATGAACTCTAATTAACTTGCTGTAATCTGAAATCAGCTAGGAAGAAGTCTCAATGAGGGGTTGTCTACATCAGGCTGGCCTGTGAGGGGCCGTCCTGATCATCCCAAGTGGGCAGCGCTGTTTCACAAGCTGGAGTTGTGGACTGAGGGAAGCGGTCAGTTGAGCACTGATACAGGTGATTCCGAGTCTGTGCTCATGTGACTACCTTCTTCAAATCCCTGCTGACTCAGCTTCCCCTGAGTGATAAATTGTAACGCAGAAGTGTGAGCAAAACAAATCCCTTTTCCTTGATGCAGCTTTCAGCAGGGTGTTTTGAAAACAATGACTTGATGTGATAATCTCATACACTTTAAGTTACATTTTATTGTGTGTGTGCGAGGGTGTGTGTCTGAAAATGTGTGTGGATATGGAGGTCAGAGGACCACCTGCTGGACTCTGTCCTCTCCTCCCACCATGTGGGTCCCATGTGTGCAAGGTCATCGGGCTTGGCAGTAATCATCTCACCACCCCAATTGTGATATTTTTATATTTTAATTTTACTTCAACATTCTTTTTTTTTTTTTTTTTTTTTTTTTTTTTTTTTTTTGGTGTTTCGAGACAGGGTTTCTCTGTGGCTTTGGAGCCTGGTCTGGAACTAGCTCTGTAGACCAGGCTGGTCTCGAACTCACAGAGCTCGGCCTGCCTCTGCCTCCCAAGTGCTGGGATTAAAGGCGTGTGCCACCATCGCCCGGGCTACTCCAACATTCTTAATGGTGATCTCAAGTTACCCCGATTTCACTGCTACCTACTGATGGATAAAGTCTGAAGACCCTGTGCTAACAAATGGGACAGACGAGCTCAAACGACTGCTCTTCAGAGAGGACCTCTGGCTCCCAACGGACTGGAGCTTCAGCAGAGCTGATGTGCCCTCTTCTGACTCTCACCAGGCAAGGGTACCCAGCTTCCAGATTGGCGGGTGGGGTTGGGTTCATCCAGTCTGGTCCCAGAGCAAAAGTACAAGAAATGCTTTTAAACAAAGCCTAGAAGGGAGTGACACCCTTATGGGCCTTCATTCCACACAACGTTTTGGGCTTTGATTTAGCTGTGGGTCCCCCAGTCCTGGTCTCAGAGTCGGGGAGACAGAACACAGTTTGAGACAATGAGCAGACACGACCCCACAGTCTAGACCCCCCAACAAGAGCTATAGGCTTGTGCTTAGACCATCCATCTTCACAGTCAGGCTGCTTCCAGCTCCCCCTGGGGCATCTTGAGGGCACTAACTGAATTAGCCCTACCCTCCTGCTGCTCCCTGCCAGGTGACAGCTCTGAGGGATTCTTGTGACCACAGTCCTTACCTCATACTGCACACGGCTGCTATTTGTGGCAGCAAATGCAGCAAGTGCCTCTACAACTTGGATTTTGAAAATCCCACAAAGCCTAGATGTGAAGACTTGGTCCCGGGGTAGTGTTGTTGGGAGGGAGTAGAACCTTTAAGAGATGTGCCTCTATGGTTCTTTGGTCATGGGGTGTGCTCTCAAAGGGGATGTGGGACTGTGGTCCTCTCCTCTCTTTCTGTGGGCCCTAGCTTGTGAGCCCGTGCTTCTAACCAAGCCATGCTGCCTCACTACAAGTCCAAAGCCACTGGTCATGAGCTGTACCCTCCAGAATCCCTTCCCTTTCTAAACTGTCTCCAGGATTTTGTTACAGTAACACTCAGGGTTAACTGAGAAGGGGAGACGAATCTTGAATGTGGGTGGCACCATCCCATGGGCTGGGATCCCAGGCTGAATGAAAAAGGTCGAAAGATTGGTATGAGAGCTCATCCATCCAGGCATGACAGCTCACGCTTGTATCCCAGTACTTTGGAGGCTAAGACAGAATAGTGCAAGTTCAAGGCCAGCCTAGGCTACAAAGTAAAACCCTGTCTCCCAAAGGGGGTGGGTGAGAGGGACACTAGTGGGTTAACCAAAACTAAGGCTGTGTGCCGCAGCCTCAGGAAACCCTACCAGTTTCATACCGGGGGATTCACACTGTAGAATTTGATTCAAGACTGTTTAGACCAGCAACATAAAGTTGATTCAATTGCAATTCAACACCCCTGTAAATCTGGTCAGTCTACTCCAAAAGGGGGGGGGATTGAGGACAAAAAAGGCAGCATCAATTATTGATTTACTTTTGCTGCATGATGCCCCCCCCCAGAGGAGGAGAAAAAAAAATTTGATGTTACACTTTTAGAATCACCAAATATGGCTATTACCTGATTAGCTAAGCTAATGTCCCTGCTACAGCAAGGGATTTTATAGACAAATGGTCGAGTGGTGGTGGTGCACGTCTTTAATCCCAGCACTCTGGAGGCTGAGGCAGGCAGACCTCTGAGTTTGAGGCCAGCCTGGTCTACAGAGCAAGTTCCAGGACAGGTTCTAGAAGCTATACAGAAATACCCTGTCCTGAAAAAAAGAGAGAGAAAGGGAGGGAGGGAAGGAGGGAGGGAAGGAGGGAGGGAGGGAGGGAGGGAG